GAGGATCAGAAAATTTTTCAAATGATAATGAGTCTCTTAAATTACCTGTAAACATTTTCTGTAAATGGGGATAAACAGGAAGGAAATGAAGAAAATTGCATTTCTTTAAAAAAGACTCTATGATTCATTCCAAAATAGTCTTTTACTCTTCTGAAACATTCTTTTCCTGTACATTCTGAATTTAGTGAGTTCCCATAATATCTATTGGTACCATCTCTCAATTTCTGCATTACAGCATCTATTGTCTTTACAGGAACAATCTGAAAAAAAAAAAAGAGTGAGTTTTTGACTTGCTCTTTGCTCATGTTTGTGTATTTATAAGATGCTGTCATGATTACTTGACAAATCTACAAAGTGAACCACATCTGCTGGTTTTGAGCTAGCACAGCTGGAAGTTCCTTAGCTTCTGTACTAAACTTTTTATGTGGGTGTGATTCTTAGTTGCCTATTCTGTCTGTATTTATGCAAATTACAGTGTTATTTATAAGCAAGTAAATAATCATTTCTAAGACAACATCTGCACTACTGTCTGCTTATTAAACACCTGCAAAGTCAGCTTGCTCTGAATAGAAGGCCATATAGTGCATGGATCAGACTATAGCTTGAAACAAGTTGCAATTATTTGTGTGCTTATTGATCTCAATTTTAATTTGAGACATTTCTTTATTAGTGATTGGTTTTAGGGATGCCTTTTATTTCAAACCTTTTTAGATCTTCTAAATATAAAAATTTGATGGGATGAGAACTAAAGAAAGATAGAAGCTATAATTCTGGTCTCCCAAGTGACTTACAAAGTATGTGACCTTATGACTATGTGATTTGACCTCCTAATTTGTCTTTCTTCATCTGTGAAGTAGAAATAATAGCACCAATCTCACTGGGATATCCTGAGGATTAAATGAGAAATGTACATAAACACACTGTATTGTTTGATAGGCAATGTATGCAGTAATTACTGCTTCTCTTTCTTTACCTTTCTCTTACTCCTTCCAAAGCATAAACTGTCTTTTCCTTCAGCCACCAAAAATGTTAGAAAATGAGTTGTAGGAAGAGTCTGTAGATAGGAAGAGGAAATCCTAAGCTATGCCTAGAACTATCAGAATTAATTGTTATTCAAACTTACCATGCTTTCTTTGGAGAAACAATACAAATCTTAAAAAAAGAAACAAACTGTAGGTAGGAGTTGTATCATTTCAGTATCTAAATGCCTTGCAGGTAAGAGGACGGAGCCAAGAATAAATCATTGTGAAAGCCATTTATGTAATGAATATAATGGTGTGCAGTAGTGTACCATCTATCTGAAGACTCCGTCAGACACTGAAACACAATTTAGGGATTATATTGATTTTAGTCTTATCTCTAGCATTAATATTTCTACCAACCACACAAGTTCACAAGCATGCTTATAATAGGAAATTGGATTAAAGGAGAGTTCGTAATAAATTAAAAATTACCTCAGTTTAGTATCTATGCTGTTTAATGACTTTGATCTTATTTAATCCATCTCCTGTATTCACTCTTTGTATGACCACTAGCCAATTATAGAAAAATTGTTTCCACTTGTTTTCCTAACTACTTTAATGGTCATTCCTCTGTCAGTTGTGCTCTTACATCTATCCTACTTACTAGCTTTTTTCTCTCTAGTCAATGCTGACCTCTATTCGTTAGGCGCAACATCTGTGGACTGAAAAGCAAAATAGTTCTGTTCCTACATTTACTCTACCACCAGTTAGTCATATAATGTAGAAATAAATTGTTCTTCAAGCCTTAATCCCCTTGTTTGCTGGACCGTTATATAATAATGGAATTGGATTGGTTGGATTAGTTGGAAAAAAACACAAAAAACAAAAAACGACCAAAGGTCAGGACACTTGAAGTCTAGGTTTGTGTTGACCTTAGGCAATTCAGTCAACCCTGTTAGGCTTCAGTTCCCTCTTTGTAAACTAGTAGATCTCATAGTTTCGTGGAACTTTAGCTCCAGGAATGATCTTAGGGGTCACCTAGTGAACTCTCTTGCTTTGCTCATGAGGAAGCTCAAAAAACTTACGTCCTGCCCAACATCCCAGCAGTTGATTGAAGAGTAGCAGACCATGTCTTCTGACCCCTGTGCTGAGCTCTTCTCACCCTAGCACCTGAGGCCCTTTCCATCTAGATCATATAGTTCTAATAAGTATCACATGAAAAATTGTGGAGGCTTTTCTGGCATCTAGGTATATGAATTTAAATTATCAACAATAATAATAATAATTCAGTTACCTATTTTACATTGTTCACAGATTATGGTAAAATAGTCCTAAACACTGCTTACTACTATCCTCCAAATTTAAAAGCAGGAGATTCTGAATATTTGCAGGGTGACATCTCTCACTTCTCACCTGCCTTCTCTTTCTATATAATGAAAGAGGAGGGTCGGGGAGGAAAGCCTCACGGGACTCCAGTTAGCTGGTTGGCTGATAAGGCCCCAGAAATTAAGTATGTTTTAGTTTGTGACTTCATAGCCAAGGAGATATTCTAATATTTGCTGGGCTATCAGACACAAAATCTCTGGTTTCACCTGGATTGACTGCAAGAATAGAGAGGGGATAATTCTGGCCTTCATTTATAGGTTGTCTTTGGCTTAGGAGACCTGATATTCTGGGTTAACTGACTTCTTTGGAGCACAGGAGAACAAAACAGTACTGGAGGTAAGGCGGAACTGAGTCATCCTAGAAATGCAGGCAGGGTTGATTTAATCTACTATTGGGACATAAAACACATTTTCGGAATTTATGCCCAAATTTTCCTCACCCAGAATGGAAAGTTCAGAAAGTCAGTGTTGTACTTTCTAAGGACTACTAGACATTTATTCACTTGCTAAATTTCAGGGTTGTAAGGTACTTCAAGTCCAATTCCCTTATTTTGTGTATGGGAAAACTGAGTGGTAGAAAGAACTGAAGTTAGTTCACTGAATCAACTGGACACGGGCACTCAGGAACAGAAGCAAGCCTGGATTCTGGGTCTCCTTAGCCCAGTTTATTTTCTGTTATATCATATCCAAGCTGAGAAAAGAAAACTATTATGTTGATGGAATAAAGAACACGCTTAATATGTGTGAGTGAGTGATCCTCCAGAAAAAGTGACACAGTGAAAGATGAGAAGAACTTCAAGTCAATCAAATACCATCTGGATAAAGAAGACTGAAATCTAAAACAAACTTTCAGGCACGAGACTCAATGAAACAAATACATATTGGACAGATCCTTATTTCAGGAGTATATTTTGGTAAAAGTTTTACCCATCAGGCTACCTGTTCTGCGTCATTGAGTAAATTACTGTGAAGTCTTAACTCTTGTTATACTTGCCACTAATGGGTAGTGACAGAGTTGAACCCTTCCTTACTTTCCTTTTCCCTTTATACTAAAAAACCTGGGTCTGTGTTGGGAGGGGACAACTCCAAAACAACAGAAAGAGCCATAACATTTCTTCAGGCTGGAGGGCAGGAGCTCTCTTTGCAAATGCAATGTATCGCCAGATGAGCTTGTTATAAGGCAAAGCCCCATGCTTACCCACAGATATTCTAAATCAGTCTGGGTTGGGGACCAGCTACATCAGCTTTTCTACATTTTCAGATATGCTGCCCTTGGGATTGGGTATCATTACCTCGATTCTATGGCCAAGGGCCTGAACAAAGTAGGTTATCTTTGACCTTGATGAATTGAAGATCATTCTTGAGCAGCTTAAGATTTTGCTAAGAGTAATGAAAACAGTATAAGGCAGAATGAATCTATTGCATCTTATTTTCACACAAGTGTTTCTCACAGTTACTGGTACCATGTACATTCCTAACAACTGAGCATTGGGTCTATCAGTGAGTCATGGGAAATAGGAGGAATGCCCTGATGAGAAAAGTCAATTTCCTTAATTTAAGGGATTGCACATCAATTGGTCTGCTTATTCTGGATACTGAAATTCTGAGTAGACTTTTATCTTTAACAAAATAAAAGTTACTTATGATTACAACAAAATAAAAAGTCAAGAATAATCAAACCACCCTCTGGGATAAGAATTGTATGAAGTTGCTATGCAGGAAACAACAACAACAAAATGAAGGTCTAAGCAAGGTATTGCAAATGAATTTAGTGGAATTCTGTCATAAACTTCCTGACCTCCCTATGGGAGTGGTAAAACCCCTCAGCAGGTGGGACTATGGGGTGGTTTTAGTAACCAGGTCTGTGATATGTCTTCTGCTGTCTTTGTTCATTGATCCACTTTTTTCCCTTGGTCTCACTGAACTTTTCCCGTGCCAGTCCATGCTGCAATGCTTGTTTCCATGGAATAAATTTCTAAATATCACCTGCAGAGGATTCCTCAATTTCTTTTCCTGCAATTACTCAATGGTTAGAGTTTATTAAGAAATTGCTTATGAAATGAATCATTAAAGGTGCTTACTTTTGCTTATATGCTGTACAAAATTGTATTTTTGGAAATTCTGGTTGATAACCCCTTTTTTGCCCTTTGTGTCTCTACCAATTTGCATCAATGTTTCGGGAGAATAACATTACACCCTCTATTTGATCTGTAAGGAACTTGTACATTAAAACTGTCCTGCATTTACTCCGACGGTGGTGGAATAATAGCCTCACGGTCTTTCTTAAGAGACATTTTCTCTGATTGTAGCAGCCTGAGGCTTTTCTATCTCTTTTTTCTATTTCTATTTACTTCTATGCTATATCTGTTGTATAGATGCAATACGGTTTTTATAAGTACAGTACTAATTCAGTTTGGAGACCCTGGCTTGAGGCTAGGCAGTTTTACTTCTGGAGAAGCTGACTAAATCCAAAATTTCAGCCACCTCCCTTCTTGGTCTTTTCTAATTTGGGTCACTATCAATGAGCTCCAATCAACCCAGGGCCTGGTACCAGATGACCAGGGACAGCCCCTGTGCCCCAGAGCCTGCTGATAGTATTCAAAGTAGCCAATTCTAAACCTGTTTACCATGGCTTGTCTGTTTCTTCCCACAGAAACCACCATAAAAATTGTTCTCCCTGCCTCTGCTTCTTGGCCAACCCCTGTGTGGCCCTGTATAGTGTTCTCCCTACGGAGCTGTAAGTATAACAAAACTATAAAAACCCTGCTTTTTCTCTCTTGACCTGCATCTGGCCTCACGATAGCCACCATACCTCACCCATGGTAAAATGGTCAAAACAATAGTCCATGCATGTTCCAAGTTTTCTTGAAGATTATACTTCTTTTCTGTAACTCTAATACATACCGAATAAAAGAAGAAAAGGAAATGATACAATATCAAACAAATTCACCATGTTCTAACAGATCTTCAAAAGTTTTAAGGTAAATACCTGAAACAGTTTGATGTAAATACATGTGGGAGCAGGCTATCAGCTATTCCATTGGAATTCACTCGGCATTTTTCAGATGGTTTGTTTTTACAGTCATGTTCCACATAATGACATTTCCATTAATGACAGACTACATACATGACAGTAGTCCAATAAGATTATAATACTGTAGTGCAATCAAACTAGAACTCAGGACTAAGAAACTCAATCAAAACCGCTCAACTACATGGAAACTGAATAACCTGCTCCTGAATGACTACTGGGTACACATCGAAATGAAGGCAGAAATAAAGATGTTCTTTGAAACCAATGAGAACAAAGATACAACATACCAGAATCTCTGGGACACATTTAAAGCAGTGTATAGAGGGAAATTTATAGCACTAAATGCCCACAAGAGAAAGCTGGAAAGATCTAAAATTGACACTCTAACATCACAATTAAAAGAACTAGAGAAGCAAGAGCAAACACATTCAAAAGCTAGCAGAAGGCAAGAAATAACTAAGATCAGAGCAGAACTGAAGGAAATAGAGACACAAAAAACCCTCCAAAAAATCAATGAATCCAGGAGTTGGTTTTTTGAAAAGATCAACAAAATTGATAGACCGCTAGCAAGACTAATAAAGAAGAAAAGAGAGAAGAATCAAATAGACACAATAAAAAATGATAAAGGGGATATCACCACCGACCCCACAGAAATACAAACTACCATCAGAGAATACTATAAACACCTCTACGCAAATAAACTAGAAAATCTAGAAGAAATGGACAATTTCCTGGACACGTACACTCTCCCAAGACTAAACCAGGAAGAAGCTGAATCCCTGAATAGACCAATAGCAGGCTCTGAAATTGAGGCAATAATTAATAGCCTACCAACCAAAAAAAGTCCAGGACCAGATGGATTAACAGCTGAATTCTACCAGAGGTACAAGGAGGAGCTGGTACCATTCCTTCTGAAACTATTCCAATCAATAGAAAAAGAGGGAATCCTCCCTAACTCATTTTATGAGGCCAATATCATCCTGATACCAAAGCCTGGCAGAGACACAACAAAAAAAGATAATTTTAGACCAATATCCCTGATGAACATCGATGCAAAAATCCTCAATAAAATACTGACAAACCAGATCCAGCAGCACATCACAAAGCTTATCCACCGTGATCAAGTGGGCTTCATCCCTGGGATACAAGGCTGGTTCAACATACGCAAATCAATAAACGTAATCCAGCATATAAACAGAACCAAAGACAAAAACCACATGATTATCTCAATAGATGCAGAAAAGGCCTTTGACAAAATTCAACAGACCTTCATGCTAAAAACTCTCAATAAATTTGGTATTGATGGAACGTATCTCAAAATCATAAGAGCTATTTATGACAAACCCACAGCCAATATCATACTGAATGGGCAAAAACTGGAAAAATTCCCTTTGAAAACTGGCACAAGACAGGGATGCCCTCTCTCACCACTCCTATTCAACATAGTGTTGGAAGTTCTGGCTAGGGCAATCAGGCAAGAGAAAGAAATCAAGGGTATTCAGTTAGGAAAAGAAGAAGTCAAATTGTCCCTGTTTGCAGATGACATGATTGTATATTTAGAAAACCCCATTGTCTCAGCCCCAAATCTCCTTAAGCTGATAAGCAACTTCAGCAAAGTCTCAGGATACAAAATTAATGTGCAAAAATCACAAACATTCTTATACACCAGTAACAGACAAACACAGAGCCAAATCATGATTGAACTTCCATTCACAATTGCTTCAAAGAGAATAAAATACCTAGGAATCCAACTTACAAGGGATGTAAAGGACCTCTTCAAGGAGAACTACAAACCACTGCTCAGTGAAATAAAAGAGGACATAAACAAATGGAAGTACATATCATGCTCATGGATAGGAAGAATCAATATCGTGAAAATGGCCATACTGCCCAAGGTAATTTATAGATTCAATGCCATCCCCATCAAGCTACCAATGAGTTTCTTCACAGAATTGGAAAAAACTGCTTTAAAGTTCATATGGAACCAAAAAAGAGCCCGCATCTCCAAGACAATCCTAAGTCAAAAGAACAAAGCTGGAGGCATCACGCTACCTGACTTCAAACTATACTACAAGGCTACAGTAACCAAAACAGCATGGTACTGGTACCAAAACAGAGATATAGACCAATGGAACAGAACAGAGTCCTCAGAAATAATACCACACATCTACAGCCATCTGATCTTTGATAAACCTGAGAAAAACAAGAAATGGGGAAAGGATTCCCTATTTAATAAATGGTGCCGGGATAATTGGCTAGCCATAAGTAGAAAGCTGAAACTGGATCCTTTCCTTACTCCTTATACGAAAATTAATTCAAGATGGATTAGAGACTTAAATGTTAGACCTAATACCATAAAAACTCTAGAAGAAAACCTAGGTAATACCATTCAGGACATAGGCATGGGCAAGGACTTCATGTCTAAAACACCAAAAGCAACGGGAACAAAAGCCAAAATTGACAAATGGGATCTAATTAAACAAAAGAGCTTCTGCACAGCCAAAGAAACTACCATCAGAGTGAACAGGAAACCTACAGAATGGGAGAAAATTTTTGCAATCTACTCATCAGACAAAGGGCTAATATTCAGAACCTACAAAGAACTCAAACAAATTTACAAGAAAAAAACAACCCCATCAAAAAGTGGGCAAAGTATATGAATAGACATTTCTCAAAAGAGGACATCGTACAGCCAACAGACACATGAAGAAATGCTCATCATCACTGGCCATCGGAGAAATGCAAATCAAAACCACAATGAGATACCATCTCACACCAGTTAGAATGACAATCATTAAAAAATTGGGAAACAACAGGTGCTAGAGAGGATGTGGAGAAATAGGAACACTTTTACACTGTTGGTGGGATTGTAAACTAGTTCAACCATTATGGAAAACAGTATGGTGATTCCTCAAGGATTTAGAACTAGAAGTACCATATGACCCAGCCATCCCATTACTGGGTATATACCCAAAGGATTATAAATCATGCTGCTATAAAGACACATGCACATGTATGTTTATTGTGGCACTATTCACAATAGCAAAGACTTGGAATCAACCCAAATGTCCATCAGTGACAGACTGGATTAAGAAAATGTGGCACATATACACCATGGAATACTATGCAGCCATAAAAAAGGATGAGTTCGTGTCCTTTGTAGGGACATGGATGCAGCTGGAAACCATCATTCTCAGCAAACTATCGCAAGAACAGAAAACCAAACACCGCTTGTTCTCACTCATAGGTGGGAACTGAACAATGAGATCACTTGGACTCGGGAAGGGGAACATCACACACCGGGGCCTATCACGGGGAGGGGGGAGGGGGGGAGGGATTGCATTGGGAGTTATACTTGATGTAAATGACGAGTTGCTGGGTGCTGACGAGTTGATGGGTGCAGCACACCAACATGGCAGAAGTATACATATGTAACAAACCTGCACGTTATGCACATGTACCCTAGAACTTAAAGTACTAAAAAAAAAAAGATTATAATACTGCATTTTTATTGTCCCTTTTCTGCTTAGATATGTTTAGTTACACAAATACTTTCATTGTGTTGCCACTGCCTTGTGGTATTCAATACAGTAACATGCTGCATGGATTTGTTGCCTAGGAACCATGGGCTATACTATATAGTCTCAGTGTGTTGTAGGCTGCACTATCTAGGTTTGTGTAAGTGCACTCTATGATATTTACATACCAATGAAATCACGTAAGGATGCATTTCTCAGAATGTGTACCAGTTTTTAAGTGACACATGCCTATATTTCATCATTTCTAGCATTTGAAGATTCACACTTTGTGGCATTATTTAAGGTTTGTAAGCTTATTCAATATCGACTACTCTTTTGAAAAAGTCAAAAAAAAAAATAAATAAAACATCTAAGCTTTCATTAACTTCCAGGGAATAGAAAGTTAGTTTCATGTTAGCTGAAGTTATCCAAGATTCCCAGCCTGGGACCCTGTGGCTGTAATCTTGTAGGCTCTCTTCTAATGAGTTCATTCCATCCCTAGTGCTTATTCAGTCCTTCAAGGGACCCAATTGTTTACTCTAGTATATTATAATCTGAAGTTGGGGTGGACACACTTTTCCTGTAAATATCTTCATTGCCTTATCTACTCTCTAAACTTATGAGTAAAGGAAACTTGGGGAAATTAAGAAGAAGAAAAAAGAGAATAAGTAAAAGAAGGAATTGCTGTTTGTTGCAATAAATTTAAAATAGTGATACATACTGCTTATAAAATAATGAAATATACCTAGCTATAAACTTCATACATACATAAGAATGGTACTTAATATTGAGTTGTATCTACATTAATACTCAACATAAAATGAAGAATTGAAATAGATTCTTTAATTAATTTACCTCATTCCCTCGCCTTTCCTCCAGTGTTTTCTCGAGAGGTTTTATTCTATATTTTTCTTTGCTTGGGTATCTAGTAAATGCAGTATAATTTTCTAAACAAATTCATGAGGGATAAATAATGTCACCAAGCTTACTGTGGATCAGTATTTCGAGTATGGTTGAGAAAAAACTATCCCCAACAGAAAACATGCTACTCTGAAATCTTACTTGTAATATGATTCATTATTTAGAGCTACTGTAAATAAAGCACTTTTCAAATTTAAGACAATTATATCACTGTGGTCTTATGTACACCTGATGAACAATTCATCAATAATTAATCTAAAAAAT